TGTCTTTAGGTCCAATTGGGCATCGGGGTCCTGGATTGCCACCCTCCAATGGGTCAGGAAAGGCCACCCCTCGGTGTTGCAGATCACAAAATAAGGCCTTTTCTAGGTCGGGACCTTGTTTGAGAGCTCATGCAAGAGTTTAAAGCCTAGGCATGGTGACAGGTAGTAAGTTTGCTTGTGCTCAAGCAAAACATAGGACGAGTTCTTTTTCATGGAGGGGGTAGAAGAGAAGATGTCGAGGTCGAAAGGAAGGTTGTGGTCATGGAAAAGTGAGATGGTTCGTAATACGTTATGGATGGAGTTTTGGTACAATTGATTTATAGTGATGTTAAACAACTTTATGACTTTGACTATCATGGGGTGAAGTGGAAGTTGAAGACCAGCCACGAGGTGTTCCTCAAAGATCACAATCCATCATGGCCATACTCCTAAGGAAAATTACCTAAGGGTATACTGTACACAAGGGTACTGGGGAGTCTGTATCGGGCTATTAGGGATAGGAGCTTGTCCGCTGTCATCGTCGATGGGCCAAAGTTATCTGGCACCTGACCTTGACGCGAGGTAGAAGCCAGGTCACTAGAGGCCTTTCGCTCCCCCCAAGATGAGTCCACCTTGGGAGGACCGTGGATTGCATTCTGACTCGAAATAACCTCCTTAGTAGGATGAAGACCTACGGCCTGAGCCAAAGTACCCACCTTAGCTCTAACAGATTCATTGCTCCCATCTAAAAGGCTATCAAAACTAAAGCTAGACATGGAAAGACACCAAATAAAAAAGGAGAGCTAGGGGAGACTCACCAAAGAGAGATCGAACTGAAGAAAGGAAGACGACCTTGGGAAGGAATCGAAATGAAGGACTCAAGCACGACCTTAGAATGCGAATTATCAGAATTGTGGCGAAGAAAATGAGTCCCTTGCCCCCTATTTATAGCCATTGTATCTGGGAATCAGCAGTCAAGATCGTCACGATCCAATGGCTCCTAAGAAAACCGACTATGCGATCCCCAAGGTTGAAATAAGTTTAGCACGTGTTTTGGCATCTGTAGAATTTATAAAATAGCTTGACGCCCATGCGTACACTTGACGTGACCTGGGTTATTCCTAGTTGAGCCAACCAGCTGAGCTGGTCTGACCAATGATTTGCCCGTCAGTCCACCTAGACCTCGTGCCAAATCTACCTATACTCGTCATGAACTCCCCGCACCGGGTTGAGACCCTTGGCTTCGGGAGTGGGGGGCAATTGATGAAGCGTGATTTGGTCCTRACTTAGCAAAGAGGGGACATGTGGACATGACCTGACCAAGAGGGGACAACTCAGCCTAGCAAGTT